CGCCGGGACCAGCCACTCTGAGCAGGTAAGTCCTAGGGGCAGGAAAGGGAGATTGGGAGAGGGGAAGGAGACCATGGGGGGGACCCTGCCAGCTCCTCTGACCCCACTCGAACCCCGAGCCTCCCCAATCCATGCCCACTCCCACAGCCCACCCATGGCTGAACTGCCTGCCCAGCTCAGTACTTTCAAAAAAAGCGTTGGTGCTCACCAGGTGCCCCTGGGTGGGGGGCGATCCTCACTGCCCCCATCTGCCCCACGCTCCATGGGGGGTCTGTACGAGCCTCCTCGTCCCACCCCCTGCTCCACCGGCCCCCACAGGGCTGCCCTGCCCACATGGGCTCTGGTCCTTTAAGAAAAAAAAAAACACAGAAGAAAAGCCCCAGCTCCTTGTGCAGCCTCACAGCTTTGGGGACTCCTGCAGAGCACACCAACTGGCAGGGAGCAACAGGGATCGAATCCGCCAGTACGAGCGCTGAGAACTGAGCTACCTTCAGTGGGGTTTTTTTATTAAAGAGCCAGAACTGCCTTGTGCAGGGCAACCATGAGAGGACTGGGGGAGAAGGGAGGGGACTAAAGGGGCTCGTACAGAGCCCCCCAAGAACCATGGCGCAGTGAGGAGCAGTGGGGCTAGCCCCCTGCCCAGCAGAACCTGCTGAGGGGGTTTTTTCCCTCAAGTGCTGGGGCCTGGGACAAGTTTGAAGATGTCCAAGGTCACATTGAAATGGTGAGGACTGACTGAGAAGCAGGCTGCAGCCTGGAAGGGAAATACTATATTCACAACGATTGGTTGCGGATGATGCACAGGAGGGAAAGGAGTTGACGGGGGGACGGGGATACGTCCCCTGTGACAGCTGGGCATCTGGCTCATGGGGCAGGTAGTGTGTAGGAAGTGACCTTTGCAGCTGTCTGTGACTCCAGCTGCCACTGCTTTGCTGAGCGCAAGCTCTTCTAACACCCAAGAGGGTCCTACCTAGGGGAGTCATGCTGTTCTTGAGCTGCATAGAGAGTTGTCCTGAAGTTCTGGAGGCCCGTGAATCCTGCTCCTGTAGCGCCTGTGGCTTGGGACGGTTCGTCTTGTGGGTAGCCCTGTAGTGCTGGCCCCTGAAGGGAAACACCCAGAGGGTAGGGGAGGAAGGCCCCTACAGTGGGAGAGGTGAAGCGAGTGCAGCTCCTCTCCAGCTTTGAGCGGCCCTAAGCGGGAAGCTCAGGTGGCTTCCAGCTGCTCTGCTCTTAGAGTCATGCGACTGATGCTTGGCCTCGCAGAGCTGGCCACGATGTTTGATGATTACTATATGCTGGAAGGGTCGGGAAAAAACAACACGACTGTAGGGAGGAAAGACTGAGGGGATAGTAGTCAACACAGAAGTGTCATGTTGTTGCCTGCTTGTGGGCTCTTGCTGGGAGACGCTCTTGCCCCCGCAGATTTCCGCATCTTCGCTCTGTGCCCGTGCACAGCAGGGCCACAGAATGGCAACCCCCTTGCCACCTCCAGCCCACATGTTTTAGTGCAACCCTGACTTGTGGTCAGTTAAAAGGGAAGCTGACTTGGGCTCTTGCTATAGAGCTGGATCTACCCAAGACCCAGCCCTTGACTTTTCTGTGTCTAGGTTCATGACGTTACGGGCCGTTTACAAATTCCCCCAGCAGACTTTTCATTTCCCTGATTTGTAACCTGGTATGTCTTTAAAGAAGTAGGAGCTGCTAAAAATGCATGGATCCTTCTCTTCTAGATCTCAAAGACCCTGGGACCGCATCACCCTGGCTTGAGACCACGGTACGCGGTACAACCATACCTGTTTTTTAAAAAGATAGAGGTAGGGATGGGCAGGGATGACAACTGCCTGGGTGGGATGACAAGGTGAGGGTAGGCTCACAAGCCAGGGGTGGCAAGCGTCTGGTAGACGAGAAGTTTGGTTTGGATTCTGAGGTCACAATCATCGAAGATACTACTTCAAAGACAGCCAAGGGCGTACAGGACTGCTGGCAGTCCTGAGGGCTGAAAACCGTGGCCGGCATAGCCAGAGGGCCCGCGATTTGTACTGTTTGTGCCTGAGAGCGGTGTGGTAAGGCATGGGTCCGGGGATGCAGGAGTGTCAGGAGAGGATGGGCCCATTGTTCCTGGGTTAACTGTAGGGTTAAGTCCCCTGCTTGCTTTGCAGCCATAAACACGAGCCCCACGAGAGCTGTTGTCAGCACCCGCCCAGGAAGCGCTTGGAGCACCTTCAAAGCTCCTGGGGCAGACAGGTTGGTAACTCTGACAGTTAAGTGAGCAGCACTGTCTCTCCAGGGTGTGTTCCAGGGGCCTGCCCAGTAATGGGACAATGTCCTTGAGTGCCAGCATCTCATGCTGAGGCTGGGGCATGCAGCCAAGCCCACCTGACTCTAAATAGCACGAGGCCTGCTGCAGGCCGACAGGCTAGGGATGACAACAGCCTGGTAGCCGAGAAGTTTGGTTTGGGCCCTGACATCCCAGTCGTGGAAGACGCTAGTTTGGAGAGCCCCAAAGGCATGTTGGAGTGCTGAGGGCTGCCTGGGAAGCAGTGTGCAGGCTGGAGAGGAAGTGCCTGTTTGTGAATGATGCACTGGAGGGAATGGAGTTGTAGAGGGGACTGTGATAACTCTTCAACTCTACCTGATATTGAATATCCTCCCTGCTCTCCTGCAGATTCCTCTGCATTAAAGCTGAAAGATATATTAAGGCATTATTGTGTCATACTTTCCCTGCTTATAAATGAGGTCTACAGGTTTTTCAGTCAGAACCTTCAGGAGTGAAAAAATTGATTGAAAATTTGTTTTTATAATGAGTTATTAATTCATTATTAGAATTAGCTATTCCTGTTAATCCTGCCTTATGTAATCAAAGGAATGTCTTTCCAGAAGAAAGGAAGTGAGGGCGTTTTGAAAGGTTCTAGCTGATTTTATGAAAAAGAAGATGGGTAGGGTGGGAACCTATAGATTCTTTAAAATATAGCCAGAAAGAACAATGCAACATTCATAAAAACGTTCCTGTCTCTCAGGTTCAAGAGACAAAAAGCATGTTATTGTTCATCAGTTGTGAGTGCGACTGATCTGTTTTCCTTAGTCTGATTGTGTTTAACGTGGGTGCCTGAGGAGGTCACAGTGTCAGTTGTGCTGAACATGCTGCAGAGTTCTTCCATGCAGTGTGAGTCCTGTCATAGCCCAACACTTCTGCACTGCTACAGATGCTTTTCTTCTAGCTTCCTTCAATTATATTTGTCATCTCATAGTCCATGTCACTAAAAGATGTGGCGTCCTTTAAGCTGGTTGTCAAGGATGACTGACAGTGCTGGTGGCTTGGCATACTTCACCTAGCAGTGTTTTCAGCTTCCTTTGGTGTTGATGCTGTTCTCACTACCGTGATGTTATTTCTACCCCTTGCCTCTTGCTCCCTGCAGCCATCCTGGACCTGACTGGCACGGATGAGATTGAAGGAGTGTGGAAGAGTTCTACTATCTTACCATGCATCTATGTACCCTCAGACCACTTTAATCAGACAACAGTCGTTTGGACCATGGAGCGAGATCAGACCCGTGTCACTGTCATTCAAAGAGATCTCACTGGTGACCACACTCTGCTAACTCGGTATAGAGACAGGGTCAGCATCGAAAAAGAAATCCCAGGCAATGTCTCCCTCCAGATTAAGAATCTTGAAATCCCAGACAGTGGACTCTACACTTGCAAAGTCACCTGGACAGCCCAGGACGACAGCCGGACAACAAAGGAGATGACAACTACACTTCGAGTTGTTAAAGGTAAATATAGCGGTAAAATTTAAATGCCTTGTGAATGAGATGTGGTATTTAGTAGGAGAGCTGGATGCACAGCAGAAGTAGAGGACTATTTCTTTCAATGTGACTCCCCACATCCACAGGGTTAGGGGCAGCGTTTTATGGAGTCTCAGGGCTCTTCTTTATTGCACAAGTTCTGTCTTCTTCCAAATGGGCTTGTCTACACGTGCAAATAATCTGGGAGCAGTAAACTCTCCAGGGCACATGTCTATACATGTAGGGATGCGGGAGTAGATTTCTTGTTCTTAGCAGCAGACTGTAGGCCTGTGTGAGGCAGCAGCGATCCGATCCGGCTTCGGATCCACCCACTTCGGATGGCCACGATCCTATCTGGAGCTCTGGACCAGGTTTCTGCCTCAATCCAGCTGAAGCAGCTCCAAAGCTTTGGAGCTGCCTTGGAGATCCGGCCATAGGGTATAATGGGAGAATCAATGAAATATCGATAACTTTGTTGTTTTTAGTCTGATTTGGACGAAACTTGCAGGGCTGGTAGCCCCTGCTGAGAGCATGAAACCTGCCAGATTTCAAGAACATAGGTGCAGGGGGTTGGGATTTTTTGAAATTCCAAAATTTTTGAAAGCCAAATTCATGTCATGTCTATGTGGTACACCACATTGGGGTCAAAACTGCCAGGATGGTAGCTCTTACTGAGGCCACAAATCCTATCAAGTTTCAAGGAGATCGGTGCAGGGGTTTGGGGGGAAATGCACCTCAAGCTGCGGACAAGCAAAACTGGTGCCATGGGTGACACTGTGCGTGTTAAAGAGCAGCGCGGTGGCAGCTGCAGGGATGGTGGCCCCTGCTGTGACACCTGCCAGCTGTGGAGGAGATCGGTGCAGGGGGGCTCTGAGGTGCTGCACCCCTAGCTGCTGACAGGTAAAACTGGTGCCAAGACTGTTATTGCCTGTGTTGAGTCTTTCCTCTCCTTAGCCTAGTTTGGTAGGTGCTAATTGATGCTCGTTAAGTCGTCATGTAGTAGCTAGGTCCTGTGTATTGAGCTGGTCCCTGAGTGAATCATGAGTGATTGGTATCTGGTAACACAGCAGCTTAGCAGCCAGGCCTGAGGCAGTGTCCCCCCTCCCCGCCCCGAGACAGACAGACAG